CGTGGAAGAGAAGGGTGTCCCATCCGGTGGTGCCACAGAACGGTGGGGTGGGCAAGCGACCGGCAGGAGCAAGACGCAGCGACTGGACTGGACGCGACAACCTGAGGGGACGGAACCACCTGGTGAGACGCAGGGAGGAGACTAGGGGGAGGGACAGGAACTGGGAGTAGGGTGAAGCACATTAACGTCAGGTACTTCCTTCTGCGAGAGTTGCAGAGACGTGGGCAGGCTCGCTTCGAGTTTGTGGAGTCTGAGGCCAACACTGCAGACATCTTCACCAAGGCGCTTCCGCCTTGTGACCACCACAGGTGTTGTGTGCAGTTAGGCCTTGTTGACACTGGTTTTCGGCTTACTTAGTCTTGAGTTCACTGTTTGTTTTGCTTGTACCCTTTCTATATAACTCTGTTATTTCTTGGACTGGCCTTGTGGCCATTGTTGCTTGTGCTCAGAGTGTGTGGTGACGTTGTGATCCACCCTGAGCTTTGTTTCTTTGTGACTGGTCTTATGACCGTACTCTTTTGGTTTTGCTAGACACCCCTCACTTAGGCTATGGGGGTGTGTCAAATGTTGGTAGCCTGTAGTGAGGTTTGTCTTAGGGGGTACGTATGTGTTAGAATATATATTTATATATATTTATGTACCTGCCTGTAGCTGTAGCTTTAGTGTAGTTATAAACTCTTTGTATTGGTGGTGCACCTCCTTTGTCTCCTATTTGTACCCTCGAGCCTATAGTGAACTGCCCTTCTTTGTTTGGCCAACACTCTCTCCCACCAAACCCTAAGGCTCTCTCTAGCTACTATTCTAACATGGTACAGAGCTGTAAAACGGTCTAAGGACCTATTTTTTCTTCACGGAACATGGGCCCGCCCGTCCTAGCGCGAAATGCGCTTCCTTTTTTTTTCGTCCGCCCGTTTGCGCCTGTTGCGAACTGCGCGTGGCGCAAGTTTCACCCTGCCCGTCCGAGTCGCGCCCCGTCCGCCCTCCCGTTCGTCGCGCCCCGCTGCGCCCTGCTCTGCCTGTTCGTCGCGCCCCGTGCGCCCTCCAGTTCGTCGCGCCCCGATGCGCCCTACTCTGCCCGCGTCGCCCTGCCCGTCGTCCGCGCCAACGCCCGCACCTGCGCCAGCACTTCGCGGCCAGCGCCAGTGCGGAACGCAGCGCCAGCGCGTGCGCAAGCCGCGAAGCGCCAGCGCTGCGCCAGCCGCGAGGCGCCAGCACCTGCGCCATCCGCGTACGCCAGCGCTTGCGCCAGCAGGGGACGCCGGTGCCGGCAGCTCCGTATGCCCCCCCCCCCCCCCCCCCCCCCCTCTTCCGCGGCTTCCGCCGTGGGGGGGGGGGGACGGGAATTCTGGGGGCGGAGGGTGTGAACCACCAGTAGCTCGTCCCTCCCCCACTCTCCTTCCCTCTTACTCTCTCCCTGCAGCACTTGTTGCTGTCGGGGAGAGGGGGGGGGGGGGGGGGGAGATGCTAAGGGAGGGTAAGAGAGAGTGGTGGAACCAGTAGCCACGCATCTGCAGCTGCCGTCCACTGCTATGTGGCACCTACTTCTGCAGCCCCTGACGCTTCTCTCTCTTCGTTCGTCTTCTTTGCTGTTGAGCTGCAAACTAAGCGCGCCACAGCACATCGTCTTCGTTCGTCTTCTTTGCTGTTGAGCTGCAAACTAAGCGCGCCACAGCACATCGTCTTCGTTCTCTCTTTCTTGCCTCAGGGCTTGCTGCAGCTGTCTCTGCCACCACTGCACTGGTTGTCATTGCACTTGCCTCCTGTTGCTGCTTTCTCTGTTCGTGGTGTACCCATCCAGGAGTTGTTGCTGCACAAGCTCCTGCTGCAGGCAGTTATGGGGGAGTGTTAGAATATATATTTATATATATTTATGTACCTGCCTGTAGCTGTAGCTTTAGTGTAGTTATAAACTCTTTGTATTGGTGGTGCACCTCCTTTGTCTCCTATTTGTACCCTCGAGCCTATAGTGAACTGCCCTTCTTTGTTTGGCCAACACTCTCTCCCACCAAACCCTAAGGCTCTCTCTAGCTACTATTCTAACAGTATGTTAGGGTTTGCTACTTGTACCCCAACCACCATCAATGAACCAACACTTCCGATTCTGACAGAAACACACGGGAGGATCCATTTCAACCGGTGGGCTTTGTGGGCTGTTATGTTCTGTGCCTGATTTCAGTGTTTCGTGGTCGTGTTAGAACCCGGTAGCTTCTGTGGTTGATTTCTGTGTGCGGGAACTTTTGGGCGCGGGGGCTTAGGTGTGCGGGGCTTTGGTTTCTTTTCTTAGCGTGCGGGATGAGATTGTAGTCCGGGGTACACGATCTTGTTTGAGGGAATAATCTATAACTGTTATCATTTTGGGACTGCTGCCGAAGGATTGGCGGGGCTACAATGCACCACAAGATGGCGTTGACTGTATGGTCTGTAACGCCTGCAGTGATGGGCCACCTCAAATTCATACGGTAATGAATCTCGAGAATCCAGCAGCTCAACTCCACTCAGCCTTGAGATGCTTCTCAAGACTAGGTAGTGTCTGTCACCACTTTCAGGAAATGGTTCCGTTCAATATTTCCTGGACGCAAGGCTGCCATCAGTCTCTTGGCTTGGCGGGTCAAGCTGAACTCCATGTCAGTCTATCACCATGAGCTGCTGCAAGCCAGCACCGAGCTTTGCTGTGATTTCGAGGGTGGAAAGGATGGATTGGTCATGCCACAGCACACCACAGCTGCAGACTACCTTTTTGAGACTGCTGCACAATGATTTCCGCGTAAAACTAATCTAGCCCCTCTCTCCAGCACAAATATCGTTGTGCACGCAGTAACTGCAGTTGCTGCCCTCGCGTCTTTTTTTCAAGCCCTGCGTACCATTTCCTGTAATGTGACTGACCAACGTCAAAAGAATAACGTGTGGCTTCACGGCGATTTGAACCTCTAGTGTGCGCAGCTTTTACGGGTATGTCTAACAGTGCCTTGTATCAGGAGGTAAAAGCTTGTAGAGTACCACGGGGTATTTTGTGACCAAGAAGGAAACGTTACGAGCTCTTGTGCAAGCGAATTTTATTGCATATATAAACAGACTTACAAGGGAGAAGCTGACCCAGCTGCCAGCTCAGGCCACGCTTTCTAAACTAGACGCGAGCTGTTTAGATGGCATCGGTCAAAGCACCCTTTTGAATCATCTCCCTGATCTCGTCATTGCACGCGCGGTCCAGGGCCGTCCGTCCCTCCCAGTCGGGAACGTCGCACCGCGCACCGGCGTACAGGAGCTCCTCGATCTTCCGCACGTCGCCTTCCGATGCAGCCATCATGAGCAGAATGTCGCATGCGTGCGTGCCGGACTCGATCATCTTCTCCATCTTCTCGTACGTTCCCTCGGCGGCGAGCATGCCAGAGTAGTTGAAGTACTGCTGGGGGAAAGTTTCATTTGTGAAAGAAATTAGGCTTTGCGCGAATCTTAGTACTGAGCGTGCGTTTCTTCCGTTGTTTGTGGAAAAATACCGGAAACTGGGATTGAAACCAGAATGCTAGTGAAGACAAATCGTGTCAAGAGTCATGACAGGGAGAGAATTGGATAAAAAACGATCTGGGACCCAACGGCGAGCGAAAACAGATCGTAGTGAGCAAGTATCACGGCACTTACGTGGGCAACGTCGTCGGCGTCATAGTCATCGCGAAGTTGGCTGGCAAAAATGCCGGCGCTCTTGGCGCTCTCTCCGCCGAGCTTGAAAAATGCGACTGTGCGAGCAGTAGATCTGACGCCGAATGCAGCCGTGGCTGATTGTTGACGAACACCTGAGGTTAATCAGGCGAAGAATGGAAACTTTAAGGCTGATTCGTTTTCAGGTTGGAAGAATGAAAACGCTTTAAAGAAGCCACAATGAGGTTTGCCCGGCCAAAAAGCATGTAGTCAAGACATTCCCGCAAGCTGTCGTCTTGTACCTGCGATGGAGGACGTAAGGTTCATCCTCTGAGCCGGGGTGGAAGCGGCAGCGATTGCGCCAAAGGGAAGCTTAGCAGCAGCCATAGTGGTAGCAGCCATTGCAATTGTTATGAACGGAGCAGTTCAAAACCAAGAAGCTGCTGACTTGATGCCTGCTGGAAGCAAAAGCGAGTGCTTTGGTGGATCTGTGAGCTTGTAAGTTCGTTTGGAAACATGAGAGGGCATCCAGGGGAGCTTATACAGTACACACTACACAGCGGTTGCGAAAGCCAGAGAGGGACCAATCAGTCTGTGCAACACAACATTCTCCATGATTGCCTCCGCTGATTCCTCGAGCCGCGGGGCTTGGCGAAGCGGCCAACATCCAGAATTGCCAGCGCATAGAATTCCCGCCATCTTATTTGTACCTGTAAGCGCTGCAGTACACGTGTAAGCTTTCCCTGCCACGTGTTCGTACCTGTATGGGGCTCCTCGGGTCTCCTTCCCATTAGCCAGTGCTTATATCTTGGCAAAAACGTGCGCTGTCACACGTCACGATTGCATGATAATCCAGTACCTATACAGAGTATAGATTCGAACAGTTTATAGTGTCAAATGACGATCCCTAGATCACAAACAAATGCATAAATGTGTCAGAGTAACCCACACGAATGAATTTGAAGCACACAGTATGGTTAGTATTATGCAAAAAAACGTCTCAGGATAAATTATACTCCAGGGGCCACAGCGGGTCCACACACAAATTCATTTGACTTCACTGAGTTTGAAACACGTCGGATTTTTTCATGATTACATCATTATGCTCATAAGATGTTATGACATCCTACTCTGTTGAGAACCACCTATTTTGGTTAATGCTTCAAGTTTTGCCACCAAATGGGCCCACAAGAAGTCAACAAGTTTTCATAAGCAAATATGCACAGTATGAAATACAGCATCACTTGGCCTCTTTACAAATGCACTAGACAGATTGTGAGTCAGCTTCTAGGCTAACATATTGTGGTGCACTTATTCAAGGTTCCTTCTCTCTGTCACCTATTATTCAAGTTAATCGCCGTATTCAGCTAATCCCTCTGCTCCTCCCTCATCTTCTCCTCTCTCAACTTCTCCTGCCACTCCCTATCCTTCTCCATATCCCGCTTCTTATTCTTCCGAAACCCCTTCAGGTTCTTCCGCCATTGGCAATGAGTCTGCTGCGGAGCGCACATCTCCCTCCTCGGATCCGTAAGTGTGAAATTCCACAGCTCAGGCGGCTGATTCTCCTCCATGAGCAGCTCCATCCTGTACTCGATACCAGCCTTGTCGTTATTCTTGGGAAGACAGTGCTCCTGTAGCTCCTCGGGCATCGAATCGTGCAGCGTGAACCACAGCTTATGCGCGCGGTGATGCACAAACCGCCGGTGCGTGTGCATGAGAATGTTACAGTCGAAGTCGCGGTAGCACCGCCAGGGCTTTTTGCCAAGGAAATGCAGCGCGTGAATGGAGGGCGGATCGGACGCGAGGAGCGAATTCAGGGTTTCGGTTTCGATATCGCGCTTGGGGCCGTCGTCCGCGTTGATGTATTTGAGCGTGTTGATTGACTTGGGCAGGCGGTGCCACCAGTAAAACACGTCGTTCACGAAACCCTGTGGCGCATACGAGGAATTTGGGAAGGGGAGGGAAAAGTAGGCAGAAGAGAGATGATGGAGGATATCTTGGTCTCGAGTGTCTTGAGCAAGCTCGTACAATGCTCTGCAGCATGTGTGAGGTGTGTATGAAATTAGGGAGTGCAGGCTCGAGTAAATGGGATGAGGGAAGGCTGGACTGAAGCTGAGGACCTATCGCACAGGGACCTATCTCAGAGGGACCTATCACTCAGTATCCCAGACTCATTGCAATGGCTCGCAACGCAATTGAGTGGGTATCTCTCGACAGCTTCAAAAGTTGCTTCTTCGAACTCGCTATGGAATGCTTCAATACTGACCTGATCTCCGCCGTTGTACGACTGAATCAGTTCGATGTTTTCCATCATTAGCTCGAATGTACACTGCGACGGCTCGATCACCATTACACCCGAGTTAAAGATGCGCCGGCTGTTGCTGCGCGCCGACAGCTCGGGGTACTCGAACAGGTGGTCCATGTTCCTTAAAACGAGGATATCCGCGTCCACGAACACCACCTTCGCGTACTCCGTCAGCTGCCACAATCGGAGCTTGCTGTAACGGGACAATGAGGGGAGAGCACAGGCTTGTTCAGGTGGTAGACCAAAGGAAATGACATCCATGTTTCTGTTGGGTTGCGCTGCCGGACGCTGATGAAAATATGAAAAAGCAGATAGGCCGTACCTGTAGTTCCATTGGTTGTAGGTGCCCGGGCGTCCGAATGGATTGCGAATCCTCTCAATATCGATCAGCCGCCACCCCGCCGCCTCTAAGCCTCTGCGGCTGAAGTTCCCGATTTCCGCAGAAACCAACGCCACCAGCTCCGCGCGAGTTCCGCTCCGCCGGAGGCTGTTCGCCAGCGCGATCGCTCCGCACACGTAGTCCTCCTTGCTGTGCAACACCGTAGCATACGCGACTCGGCGCGCAGCGGCCGGCTGCTGATCTGGCAGCAGCTGGGGTTCCGGGGTGGCGAGCGCGCAGTTCCCGACGGGCTGCAGCCGGCGTCGCATGTCGGCGACCGTCAAGTTAAACAGCCAGACGGGCCCGTCGCGGTGCACCAGCCGGTTGCAGTGGAAGAGGTTGGGCGGCGGTCGGCAGTCGGAGAGAACGACCACGGGCATCCAAGGGCGCGCGGACTGAGGGGAATGGGGAGGCGTGGGGGACGGGGGAGGAAGGTAGAAAGAGAGAGGCGGGAGAGGGCGACTGAGCAAACATTCACGGGCTTGGAGAGCGGAAATTTGACGTGGGGGGGAATAAGGAGGTGAAGTTGGGGGGGGTGGGATGACACACCCAGGGTAGCAAGAATGAGATTGAACAGGGAGAGCGAGACAGAGAGAGCGAGACGGGTAGAAAGAGGCAGAGAGAGCGAGGCAGAGACCAGGAGAAAGCGCGAACATTCAGTAATTCTGAGGTTCGGGAAACAACGATCTCGGTCATTTTGTATTTCTGAGGAAACGTCGGCCCAAAACGGCAACAGCAAGCGACAGTGCGCGAAATTACCTGCTTGACGTATTCGGCGACAGCAAGCGACAGTGCGCGAAGTTACCTGCTTGACGTATTCGGCGACAGCAAGCGACAGTGCGCGAAATTACCTGCTTGACGTATTCGGCGACAGCAAGCGACAGTGCGCGAAATTACCTGCTTGACGTATTCGGCGACAGCAAGCACCAGCTGGTGCCATCTCACGTCCCTCGCGAACGACCCGTTGACGGGTTGGCACGGCATGTGTGCGATCAACGCGTCGACCGTGCGAAGATCCTGCGACCATTCGGGCAGCGGCAGCTTCGGACACTGCGCGTTTGAGTCTTCGTCGAACCGGTCCGCGTAGATGTCATCCCACGTTAGGTCTTCATGAGGCGGCGGCGCGGCGAGCGGGACGAGCTGAAAGCCCGCCTGCTTGGTCTGCTTGAGGATTCTTCTGTCGACGTTGAAAGCCGCAACGCGCGTTATTCTGAACGTCTTCCATAGAATGTGTCCTCGTTGTTGCTCCTTGGGCTCCGCGTTTTCCGGCGGCGATAGCGGAGGGGGATATTGGTCCTCCCACCATTGAAGCGTCGCCAGCCCGCGCATAAAGACGTTCACGTGGCTGGGGTTGATTGGCTTCATCATGAGTGAGAGAGCGTCGTCAAGAACCGTCGGATTGAGAAGGATGAGAGAGAAGAGCAGGGAAGTGACGGCGATTGCTGCCCACTGGCCCGTGCGATTGAGTTGCGGTTGCTGAAGCCCCTTTGATGGCTTCTGCGGATCGAGGAGCCATCGGTCGTAGGACTTGGACTTTGAGAGTTTCGCGACGCCTCGAGGAGCGTAAGGATCCTCTGGCGACTGCTCCATTATTGTGGGAAGAGGACGAGGGCTGGAATATCGTCTTTCAATCTTGACGACTTGTATCTGCTTCTGGATGGACAGTCGTCAGTACGTCAGAAGGCTCCTGAGGTTTCAACTGTCGTTACTACGTCGATGCCTCTCGTAGCGACGACAATGAGGCTATCAGGCAGGATGGAAGCCAGAAGCAGTTCGAGCAAGGCAATGGAGCAACAGCGATGTTGCGTGTGCCTGTGTGATAAGCAAATCCCAACTGGCTACTGAAGGTGCTGACACTGGACTGGAAATAAACAGCAGTTCAGCCAGACATTGCCCTCACAAATCAGGAACGCGTTGTTCGGAATGGCGCTGCGAATCACCCAAACCAAGCAGCTCTAGTGAACTCTAAACACTGTTCGTCGTCTACGGTTTATTTCGGTTCGTCAAGCTTTGACACGGTCCGCTTGCGTTAATAGCAGCACCGAATCAAACCGTGAAAAGAAAGGAATTTCGAACCGCGCATGACATCCAATGAACCTCACAAGCCCCGCACGGCCAATTCGCGTCGAATCACGTGTGTCCTTCAAGCCCCACACCTGCCGAACCGCATGTGCACGTCGGAAAATTGGCCCCGCAAGCTCCTCATTGAGCCGAACCAGAACACAAAGCTCGAACCCGTTGGTTGCGGAAAGCATCTCGCGCCTCGTCGCAGGTGGTGGCTGCAATTCCACCGGAACCCAGCAATTGAAGGCTGTGATTGGTTGTTCCTGTGGTAACTCGCGAGTGTTGGCACGAACTGTGCACTCCAAGGGTGTGCTCGTCGAGCCATTCCGCGCGCTCGACGAATGGCGGCATGTGTGCCGTCAAGGAAGAACCGCACCTGTAAAGTCAAGAACACAGGTGAAACGTCGAGTATGATGGCTTTGCGAAATTGCGAAGTCGCAAACTCTTCGCATGATAAAGGGGGAAAGGTACGTGGGTGTGGCAGTTTCGTCGTCCTGGTTTTCACGGAGACGGCAACGACCCATCTATCCATCTTCATCAACTCATTTCGCTTGTCTTCGCAAGATTAGCTGTTACTGCGAAAAAAAAGGTTCTGTTTAGGATGCCTCTACATAAGCTAAATCACACCCCACTGGAAACACTCTACATGAACGAAATGAATGAGAATAACCCAGCCGGAAGTGTCACTGGAAGCCTCATCAGCAACCAAACAACCCAAGCTTTATTTTACATACCCTTTAGAACTGAAGATTACACATTCGTGCACCATCCACAAGCAAATTGCAATTCATATCAAAAGTGGCATAGCAAAACCACTACCCTCACCCTCCCTCTTCCAGTCCGTAGTCTTCCCCGAAGTATGTGTCGACTAGATAGCTCGACATGGAGTGTAGCTCCTCATTGCCTACAAATTGGGCTGCTTCTATCGCATCAATACCATCCGCCTCCTCCACAAGCGGGGGCCCTCTTTTGTCTGGTAGTACGCGCAGAACCTACACAGACAAACAAGATAATACATATTGGATATACAACGTGATGGTTACTGGTAGGGTCGTGCACCACCACCACCACCACCAGCAGCAGCACCAGCATCAGCCACATCAGCACTAGCACTCTCATCCAAAGCAGCACTCTTACCACCACACCCCTTCCCACATCCGTCCCACCGCCTCGCACCGTGACATATCCCCTCTCACCACTTCAGCGAACTGCAGGCCGAGCCGCACAGAATCGGCATCAGCGGAGCGGATGAGGGAGAGGAAGGACGGCAGGCACCCCCAAATGCAGCAGCACTCTTACCGCCACACACCTCCCCACACCCTTCCTGTACCCCTTCTCACCACTTCAGTGAACTGCAAGCCAAGCCGAACAGCATCGGCATCAGCGGAGCGGATGAGAGAGAGGAAGAGCGGTAGGCACCCCGCGTCCACTAGCGCTGCCACGCGCGACTGCTGGACCGCCACGTGGCGCTCCCCCATTGGTTCTTGCTCCGCAGGATCCACACAGAGATTCGCTGCCAGAATATAGATTTAAAATGGGTATGAAATCAAGGTCTGAAACAGGTGAGAGATGATTGGATGAAGAGTGTGACAGGCGAGCCATTGCTTGGATGGTTCAAACAGTGAGTTGATCACATAGGGAGGAGGAAAGTACATAAGAAGAAACGTGAGAACAAAAGCCACAAAGGCAACAGAAGACCGGGACCGTGACTGCGTGCGTACACACCAGGCACAAGGGTATTTCCTGAACAAAGCTAGTACCCTGGCAAGCCACAAGGTGACTGACCATGAGCAAATGTCAAAAGTCGATGTGTGGAGCAAGTGCACGAGCAGCTGGTATAGCCGTGATGCCTTGCCTGCTTTGAGCTGGTATACAGCCTCGACATGACTGACCAAGAAGAGCAAAGGCAACTGACCGAGAGCAAAAGCAACTTACCTCTTGATGTCGAAGGTTGCCGTGCGGAGCAACTGCACGAGCAGCTGGTATGTCTAGCAACCCAGCGCACAGACCACAATGCTCCTGACAGGGAGCAAGGGCGACTGACCTAAGGCAGAGGCGACTTCTCGCTTGATGTCGAAGGTTGCCGTGCGAAGCAAGTGCACGAGCAGCTCGTATATCTAGCAACCCAGCGCACAGACCACAATGCTACTGACCGAGAGCGAAGGCAACTTCTCTCTTAATGTCAAACGTAGCCGTGCGGAGCAAGTGCACGAGCAGCTCGTATAGCCGCGATGCCCTGCCCGCTCCTCCCATCGCCCCTGCGTCTCCACCAATCACAGCCGCCTTGTGCCAGCTGTCGCCAGCTGTCACGTTGGATACCGCCCATGCCGTCTCCTGCAGGGGCGCACACGGGAGGATATTAAATGAAAGAAGACTTGTGGCGCTCCTTTGAGGGGTTAAAATAACAAAGTCACATCATGAAGCTGTCCTGTCGGATTTTCATATCATCCTTCCTGTAAGGGCGCACACACATTCGGTTTTATGTGTAGCAGGTGTCGCAGATGTCACTTCAGACAAACGACTACAACTGTAGTCGTATCTTTGGGCATGCATGGATGTATAGGGTATCTTTGTGTGCCAATACATGCATGCCCTAGTTGAAGCCGAATGCAGGGTAAGCGAGGGGATCAAGATCAAGTCGTAGTCGTTTGTCTGAAGCGACATCTGCCACGCATGCTAGACGCGAAACCGAATGCAGTCCACACAACCTTGACCCCACTGAATGCAGATGCCAAGCAACATCTGCCACGCCTGCGCCAGTCCACACAACCCTTCTCCCCTCACCTTCTTCAGCCCATGGTGTTTGTTCTCAAGGCACTCCGCCAGTCCCAACAGCCCCGCCAGTCCCAACAGCCCTGGCCCCGCCGCTGCTGCTGCCCTTATCACACCCCTTCCATCCCATACCACCACAAGGCCCCTCTCACCTTCTTCCACCCCCCCTTCATCTCACCTTCTTCAGCCCGTGATGTTTGTTCTCAAGGCACTCCGCCAGTCCCGACAGCCCCAGCCCCGCCGCTGCTGCTGAAGCTCTCCCTCCACCTTTAACCCGCGTCACCCCCCTACCACTTCCATCCCATGCCAACCCTCCTTCATCTCACCTTCTTCAGCCCATGGTGCTTGTTCTCCAGGCACCCAGCCAGTCCCAACAGCCCCGGCCCTGCCGCTGCTGCTGCCACCACGGCCGAAGGGGCCGGGGCAGGGATGGGCTGGGCTGTTATTAGCATGGAGGGGAGAAAATGGGATGGAAGGGGCGAGGGAAGAGGTTTGAGACAGGAATGCAGGAGTGTTGGCCCAGGGAATGCTGCTCCCAACAGTCCAGATTCCACACATTCCTGGTCCTGCCGCTGCTGCTGACACCACGCCTGGAGGGGCCGGGGCAGGGATGGGCTGGGCTGTTGTTGGGTGCATGGAGGGGAGAGAATGGGATGGAAGGGGTGGGAGGAGAGGTTTGAGACAGGAATGCTGGAGTGTTGGCACAGAGGATGCTGCTCCTAACAGTCCAGAATCCACACAGCCCTGGCCCCGTCGCTGCTGCTGCCACCACGGCAGGTGGGGTTGGGGCGGGGATGGGCTGGGCTGTTTTTGGGGGTACATGGAGAGGACTCAGAGGAGAGGTGGAGGGGAATAGAGGAGGTGGGGTGGGAAAGAAGTGGGAGTTGAGATAGCTCAACACGTTGGTGGTAGCAGACGAGGTAGGCCCAACTCGGCTGCTGATGGCATAACAGCCAGCTCCATTCGATTCGGCTGCTGCTGGTGATGCTACCATCACACCTGGTGGGTTAAGCTGAGAGGAAACATCAACTTTGTGCCCAACTAGAGGGGTCAGGCAGCAGCACCCAGGGAGCAGAACATCCACCCAAGTGCTGAAACACTTCAACCCGATTGGGAGGGATGCAGAGCGGTTGGATTGGCATGAAGGGGACATACCTTGGAAGGGCGTGCCAGCTGTCAGCAGGCGAGTGGTTCTGCTGGAATCTCCTGCTGTCAGGTTGCCTATGGCCCGCACCACCTGAGATGATAGTGGTTGGGATGAGAGTGGGTGGGTGGACAGCAGCACTCAAAGTATCAGGGGCTACTTAGAAGTGACCTGAAATTAATATGTTGTGATGGGACTTTGAAGTCCACTCAAGGTGACTTCTGAGTCGACTCAGAAGTGACGTGAGATTGATATGATATGATATGATATGATGGACGCATGGGTTGGGATGGAAGCATGGCAAGTGAGAGTAGGGCGACAGCATGTGTATCGGTTAATTTTAGAGAGTGACTAGGCATTGACATGGCATGCGGATGGCACGGGAACAGGGCAAGGGAAAGCCACGAATTAACATGACATGGCATGGTATGGCATGGTATGGCATGGTATGGCATGGTATGGCATGGATGACGCCAGGTAGACGAGTGAGTGGGACGACGTAGGTTGAGATGAAGGGCGAGAGTGGAGGGAAGTGAGCAGAGATAGGAGAGACGGAAGCAGAGTTAGGAGAGACGGAAGCAGAGATAGGAGAGAGGGGAGCACAGGAGAGTGAGTCGGGTGACTCCGTCAGAGGTGGAAAGCAGAAGCACGAAGGCTGGCACCTACCAGCCTGGCAGTGACGAGCAGACGAGGACAGGGTGACTCAAGCATGCGCAAAGACACATACAGAGGTGAGGAGGGCCTGAGGGCTCGAGGGCTCGATGGCTCGAGGGCCATCAGTGGTGGTGGAGAGCAGAGGCACGAGGGCCTCTACCAACCCGGCAGCAAGTAGCAGATGATGACATGGTAGCTGGTAGCGAGGTTGCAAGCATGGGTAGTGATGCGTGGCACGTACGGGAGTTAGGAGAGCAACAACAGTGGTAGCAGAGAGCAGTGGCACGAGGACCTCTACGAGCCCAGCAGGGACTAGCGGAGGAGGACATGTTGACTAATGGCAGGGGTGGGAATGAGGTTGCAGGGAACGTACGGGCGTGAGTAGGGCGACATCAGTGGTAGAAGAGAGCAGAGGCACGAGCGCCTCTACCAGCCCAGCAGTGACGAGCCTCTCTGTGCTCGCGTCTGAAAGTGCTGTCACGTAGGCCGCCACCCATGCTGCCTCCACTGCTGCTTCTGTGTTGCTGAGCAGGTCGGGCGGGAGAGGACAGGGGGGTGGGGAGGGAGGCAGCAGCACTCGCATCTGACAGCGCTGTCACGTACGCTGCCACCCATGCTGCCTCCACTGCCACCTCCGTGCTGTTGCGGGAGGCACAGGAGAGTGGGGGAAGAGGGAGAGGACAGGGAAGTGAGGTGAGGGGACGCAGCAGCACTGGCGTTTGACAGCGCTGTCACGTAGGCTGCTACCCACCCACGCTGCCTCCACTACCGCCTCTGCATTACTGAGAGGGTGGGGAGGGGGCACAGGAGGGTGGGGGACGGCTGCAACAAGCCTCTCTGTGCTTGCGTCTGACAGCGCTGTCGCATACGCTGCTACCCATGCTGCCTCTCCGAGTCCGCGTTGCTGAAAGGGTGTGTGGAATTGTGATGGAGTACAGAGGGCGAGTGACAAGGGAAGGAATGGGGCAGGGCAAAAACACTTTGGATCTGAGCCCTGTCGCGTATTCGGCAACCCACGCTGCCTCCACCACTGCCGTCTCTGTGCTGGTGAGAGGGTGGGGAGGGAAGCACAACGGGTGGGGGGCGGGAAGCACAAAGGGGTGGGGAGGGCAGCATTTCTGGATACTCATAAGCAGAGCCCGACAGTGCTGTAAAGGAGTGTGGAGGGGCACAGGGGGGTGGCGAGGGGCGCAGGTGGGTGGGGGAGGAGAGTCAGGGGGACGTACAGAGGGCAGCATGTTAAGGGCAGCATGTTAAGGGCAGCATGTTAAGGGCAGCATGTTAAGGGCAGCATGTTAAGGAGGAAAATCAGTGTCAGGGGGATTGTTACAAAAGAACAGGAAGCTGAGTGGAGAGAAACGGAGCAGCAAAAATGCATGGCCATTGCCCACTACTCTCCCCACTTCCCTCTCTTCCTCCCTCACTCCCTCACCCTTCACAACCCACCCCCTCCACTCCTCGGACAACCCATGCCCCTGCTACCCTCCACAACCCAGTTCCTACAAACTCCCACTTCCCTAGCTCCCCTCCCCTACCCTGAGGATAGAAGGGCCACAATCGCTGCATCCACACCGTCGGATTTCACTAGATCAACGGCTGCACGGGGGCTGGGGCCCTAAGAAAATGCACAGGGGAATGACAGGGAGTACGGAGAGATAATTAGGGAGGCTACTTTTGAGGCTGCTTGAAAGTAGACGTACAGGGAAACCATAGGGAGTTTGAATCAGATGCTGAGGCTGACGCACACGAGGGGTGGGGTGGGGGCACGAACGTGAGCAACCTGAGATAGCCTCTTGCCAAGGAAGTCTTGGAGTGAGATGGAAGTGTGTTGAGATGAATGACTTGCCACGGCAACCCCATCCCACCGCCCGCCCACCTTAGTAGGAGAAGAAAGCGCCCACGCCACAATCTTTGCCTGCTGGAGCCTGTGCTGTCAGCCATCGCCCCCCTGTGTTGCCCCCAGAGGAGAGGGCAGAGGCAGCAGCGAGCAGCAGGTGCGTGAGGGCGGGGAGAGCGCCCTGGTCCAGCAGGTGTGCGAGAGAACATAATGAGCCCATCCCATCACCCACCCAACAGCCCACGCACCTTGATAAGAGAGGACAGCCCACGCCACTGTCTTTGCCAGCGATGCCATGGCTGCTGGCGCCTGTGCCGTTAACCAGCGGGCCCCCGTGTTGCCTCCAGAAGCAGCGGCGAGCAGCAGGCGGGTGAGGGCGGGGAGAGCGCCTTGCTCCAGCACCTGTGCGAGAGAGGTAGGTACAGGTGCGACCACCATCCCACACACCTTGATGAGAGATGACAGGGCCCACGCCACTGTCTTTGCCAGCGATGCCATGGCAGAGGGTGCCTGTGCCGTTAACCATCGCCCCCCTGTGTTGCCTCCAGAGGCACCACCGGCTGTGGCGCTGGCAGCAGCGAGCAGCAGGCGGGTGAGGGCGGGCAGCGCGCCCTGGTCCAGCAGCTGTGCTCTCAGGTCGTCCGCCTCTGCTGCTATGTTGCCCACCGCCCACACACACTGCTCCGCTATTGCTGGCGAGGGGGAGTCTGTTGAAAGGGAAGAGAAGGGAAATGAGTGCGGAAAGGGAGAGAGAAATGAATGGTTGAGGAAGAAAAAGGCCAGGGAGAGAAGAAGGTCGTATGCCTGTGTTGCTATGTTGCCCACCGCCCACACACACTGATCCGCTAATGTGGGTGATAGGCAATCTATTGGTGACAACGTGGAGGAAGAGAAAACAAGAGAAAAAGCAAACTGTAATTTCTGTGTCGTATCTGGGTTGAGGTGGTTGGGTTGGGTTGGGTTGGGTTGGGTTGCCACCCTTGTGCTACAGGCACCAGGGACGAGGGCGGATGGTGACAGGTGAAAGGTGAAATGAGGAAGAGTGTGAGTGAGGGAGTAAAAGAGCGAGTGAATGAGTGAGTGAGTGAGAGAGGGAGTGAGTGAGCAGTACCAGTGCAGTGGGCGATGAGCAGAGCAGCGCAGGGCAGCACGGCACGAGTCTCCTCCGCCTCGCCCGATGCGATGTTGGTCACACACCACGCTGCCTCCAGGAGCTGGTGGGAACGGGGAGAAGACAGAGAGGAGAGTGGAGAGTATACAAATGCGGGTCAACTCAAGTCAATGCTGGTCACACACCACGCTGCCTCCAGTAGCTGGAGGGAAAAGGGCAGGGGAGAGTGAGAGGTGGTGGGGAAGAGGGGAAGGCCAAGACTCTCCTCCGCCTCCCCCAATGCTATGCTGGTCACACACCATGCTGCCTCCAGTAGCTGGTAGAAGGGGGAAAGGGGAAAGGGGAAAGGGGAAAGGGGAAAGGGGAAAGGGGAAAGGGGAAAGGGGAAAGGGGGGCGGGAAACGAGAACACACGGGTCAACTCAAGTCAACGTAGGTCAACACACCACACTGCCTCCAGTAGCTGGTGGGAAGGGAGAGAACAGAATGGAGAGCAGGGAGCAAGCGGGTCAACTCAAGTCAACAACGCTTCTCACACACGCAACCTCACTCTATCCCTTCCCTTTTCCCAGCCCATCAACCTCCCTCCCATTTACACCCCCCACTACCCCTGCAGCATTCCTTCCTCGCCCCTCACCTGCTCCTCCAGGGTTCCAAACGCGACGCACGACGCGAGCAGAAGCACAGCAAGGCAATATACCCCGCTCCCCAACACCTTCTCTTCCAATCCATTCCCCTCACCCACCCTCCCCCCCAAGTGCTACCCCCACTCCCTCCCCCCCAAATGCCACCCCCACTCCCTCCCCCCCAAGTGCCACCCCCACTCCCTCCCCCCCCTCCCACCTGCTCCTCTGGAGCTCCAAACGCCAGGCACTGCGCCAGCAAGGGGACGGCGCCGCAGCGCGCCGACATTCCACCCTGTCCCTTCCGCAACCCGTTTCAACCCCCAGCGTTTTTCCCCACACCTGCTTCCGTCCCCCCTCTCCCTCCCCCACCCCCCCTTCTCCCATCTCACCTGCTCCTCGGGGGCTCCAAACGCCAGGCACTGCGCCAGCAGGGGCACGGCGCTGCAGAGAACGGCACCCTACCCAACCCATCCCTTTTCCTCCCCACCCTGCTCACCTCCCCCCACTCCCCCCCCCCCTCCCACCTGCTCCTCGGGGGCTCCAAACGCCAGGCACTGCGCCAGCAGGGGGACGGCGCCACAGCGCACGGCAGCGCCAAGTGGCGGGCTGTGATTGGCTGAGAGCAGCTGGCGCAGCGCCTTGAGCGCCACCACCCTCTCCTGCTGCACGGCCGACCCGCCCGCTCTGGCGGTGCTGCGAGTGGTAGGGTGGGATGGCATGGGGGTTGGGGTGAGAGATACAAGACAAGGATGGGGGTGTGCTGGCACAATCCCTTGAGCGCCGCCAAAGAATCATGCGGATGTTCTCTTGAGCCCTTGAACCGCCTCCTCCTAATACGGCACCTCAGAATTTTACACACCCTTCAAACGTGCCCTTGAGCCTCTTAACCGCCTCCTCCACTCGCCCCTCCTCCCCCACCCGCCTCCTCTCCTCCTCCTCTTCGTCCTCCCCCTCCCTCCCCTCCACATCCATCCCCCCCTCCAATCCCCCCAACCCTTCCCCCACAGCAATCCCCTCCCCCCGCCTCATCCGCTTGGCGCGCACCAGCGCCCCCCGCCTGTCCTTGGAAATCGCTGCTACCACGCCCCGCCTTCGTGCTGCTGCTGCCGCCGTGGCTGGCGACAGAAGGGGGAGGGGTGTAGGGTGGGGGTACAAGCGGGGTTGGGAGGGGGCAAATGAGCAGCATCCGCTTTGCGCGCACCAGCGCCCCCCGCCTGTCCTTGCTTATCGCTGCCACGACTCCTCTCCTCCGCGCTGCTGCTGCTGCCGTGGCTGAGGTGGGGAAGAGTGGGGGGAGGGGGTATCGGGAGACAGTGAGGGTGGGGGGATGCCACAAGCGCGGTTGGGAGGGGGCAAGTAAGGAGCATCCTCTAAGCGCGTACCAGAGCCCCTCGCCTGTCCTTGGATATTGCGGCTACCACGCCCCGCCTCCGCGCTGCTGCTGCCGCTGTGGCTGAGGGGGGAAAGGGAGGGGAGGAGAGGGCGTGGGGTTGAGAGGGGATGAATCAGCAGCACCAGCGCCCCCCGCCTGTCCTTGGATGTTGCGGCTACCACTCCCCTCCTCCGCGCTGCTGCTGCTGCCGTGGGAGCGAAACGGGATGATCAAGTGTCGCCGTGAAAGCGTGGCTGCGTCGTACCGGACTGCTTGAAAAGATCGCGGCGATTTCCATGACCGTGGAGATGCGACTGCGACGGCGACGGTGGCCCGTGCGACTGCATGGCGACAAAGCGATGCGGCTGTTTGTCCTCAAATTGTGTTGAAAAAGTGTCGGAGAACGCACAGGACGACTGAGGTCAGCGCAGAAAGATTTAAAACGCTCGCCTTAAAAGACCTAAATTGCGTCTAGAGGGAAATGTCCTCGCGTCTCGCCTCTTCTACCCGCCTCTTCTACCCGCCTCTTTTCACGGCTCGCTGTCTTGGAGTTTCCGAGGTGGCGTCAGCAAGTCAGGCATGGCGGCCAGCTGCACTCGGATGCCCCCATGGAGCGACTCTTTGTTCGATATAGGAACGCACGCGCGTTATGTTTAGAACACGATTCTGAAATTACAAACTCTGTAAAACGTTGTATGTCAGGTGATTTTTTATTATTTTTGCATGTTGCATTAAATATTTTCCATGCATCCGATTTAGGGGGTAAAAGTTCACAAATGAATGCAGAAAATGAGAATAATTGACAAATTCTTATGGACCCAAACCAAATCCAGACTTAAGGGCTTGAAGACCCGTGGAAGCAGTGTAATGAGCAGTCGCCAGGTGATTTTATCTACAGCATTTGGCTGACGTGTCGCGGTTCGTTGCACAACTTGTGCCATCAGGTTTCGCATACTTACGACGTGTTGCGACCCAAAAAGGGTTGGGTTGGGTCGGGTTCGGTTTTACCGACCTGGTCGACCCGACCCGACCCAACCCTTTTTGGGTCGCAACACGTCGTTAACAGTTTGGTTGTTGCCACCAGGAGACTGACACTTAACAAAGCAGCGAGCCGCATGAGCGGTGAAAACCGCAGTAAACAGCGAGATCCAGTCCGAACAAGACCTCACAAATCCGCCAGCCTTTCAAGTTTCAAGTTTCAAAACTGCAAATATTATTGTTTTCTGCTTCTGCCCTCGGCGGTGTTCTCATCGATTTCGCGCCATTCGCTAAGACCCCCTTCCCGCCGAGGGCAATCGTCACCCGCACGAGTATTTGCCAGCCAGCAATGCAAATCCAGCCCTCCCTTCAAATTTCCATCTGTGCTTGCATTGCGTTGTGTTGTATATTTATCAGCTTCACCCCACTCGCCCCATTGGGCTTCAAAATAGACGCTAGTCTGGAGGTGGGGAAAGAAGTTGGGACATTGCATGGACGGCGTATGGATTTCTGACACTTCAAGAATCCTTCATCTCATTGACGATAAGCTGTGTCGTCAGGTTTAGCAGGCGCGTTCAGCGCAAAGCTTTGCTTCGTCCCGCAACGGAAAAAAAACAACTCCATTTTCGGAAATGAACGGCGTCGCGGATGGGTCGTGCGTGCTGCAGTTCGACGCGGCGACGGCGACGGAGTTCCTGCGGCTGCAGCGCGTGCTGATGCGGCAGGACGCGAGCCGCGCCACGAACGCCGACACGCTGTCGTGGCTGTTCGACGCCGCCAAGGCGCGAATCGACGAGCTGGCGTGGCGGGACGTCAAGCGCATTCGAATGACGACGGATATTCGTAAGCACGTTCACCGTCACATCAGCGCATTCACCGTGACCTTTAAGTCGAATCAAAAGGACGGCAAGTGCATCCGAATGACGATCAGTATTCGTAAGCGTTTTCGACCGTGTGACTCAGTTAAAAAAAAAGAAGTGCTTAACTGATCTAGGCCTTTGACCGTCACACAAAGCCAAGAACCTCTCTAGAATCAGCGAAAATTGTCGCCTCTCGTTCGACGTTTTTATCCCTCAATTCTAAAGCTTCATTTTCAACCGTTGGAGGGTAACCGGTTCTGAAAACTTCGTCCTCGTTCGCGAATCTTCGTATACTTTAGAAGGAATGAGATCCACTCTTCAGCCCTGGCAGGGTCCGTTCTCCGCCATTCACGGGACATCTATACGCGCATACTTCGAAGAGCTCCTTTTACCCCACACCTACCTGCTTACCATCTTGTCCCCACGTTCGTTTCGTTTCGATCCCACTTATTGCACCATCCCCACGTTCGTACCGCCCCATCCCCGCAGCTGACATTGCGGACATTCTCCCCGCGCACATCTGGCACATCATCTTCCGCTTCCTGCTGCTGCATACGAGCTCCTCTCATTCTCCCATCCCTCGTATCGCCCCATCCCCGCAGCTGACATCGCGGACATTCTCCCCGCGCACATCATCTTCCGCCTCCTGCTGCTACCGTTCCCCCATCCCGCGTCCCATCCGCGCAGCTGACATCGCGGACATTTGCCCCGCGCGCACCATCTTCCGCCTCCTGCTGCTGCCTACGAGCTCCTCTTATTCCCCCAACCCTCGTATTTCCCCATCCCCGCAGCTGACATTGCGGACATTCTCCCCGCGCCCATCTCGCACATCATCTTCCACCTCCTGCTGTCTTCGAGCTCCTAACATTCCTTCATCCCTCGTCCCCACGTTCGTACCGCCCTATTCCCGCAGCTGACATCGCGGACATTCTCCCCGCGCACGTCTGGCACATCATTTTCCGCCACCTGCTGCTGCCGCCCGCCCGCCCCGACGAACCCGCTGACGCCGCCGCCGCCGCCGCCGCCGCCGCCGCAGCAGCAGCAGCAGCAGCAGCAGCGGCGGCAACAGGCGCCGGCGCCGCGAGGAGGAACCGCGCCAACCACCGCCGCGCCACGTCGAAGCAGCAGCAGCGGCAGCAGCGGCAGCAGCAGCAGCAGCAGCAGCAGTTGGCGCAGCAGCAGCAACAGCAGGCGGAGAGGCGCCGCGCGGTGGTACTGAGGGACGCGCGGAGCACGTGGGGCGAGCAGCAGCGCAGCAACGCGGCGAGCTACGGCCCCTCGTGGGCGCTGCTGTGCTGCACGCTCGCCAGCAGGCGGCTGCTGCTCCACGTCCTCTCCTTCTCCGTGAGTACCATGCTCGCTCTCCACACCCTCCACACCCTCCACGCCCTCCCCACCCTCCGCACCCTCGCTTCCTCCGTCCGCTCGCCAGCAGGAGGCTGCTGCTCCTCGTCCTCTCCTTCTCCATGAGTGCTCTCGTGCTGCTCTCCTGCCTATGCACGCTGCTCTGCCCGGTTTTCCCTTCCACTGTTCAACTTCTTGAGTGCTGTGAGCGTTTCACGGCTAGTTGTGTGTGTGTCTCACAAGCAATGGCTTTATCGCGCGCGTGTCAGCTGGAAGAAACACACAGAGGTAATGTCACTAGATGTCTCAAAAAGTTTGAGCCAGCATTATAGACATCAATTTTCGCTGTGTGTGCATTAGAGACATCGAGAAGTCAATTTCTTGTGTGTATGCCGTTTGCATACGTATTTATCGTCTTATCCTTGGAGACGATAAGCATGCATAGCATAGCATGACATGGGCGGCATTGTATGGCATGACATGGGCGGCATTGTATGGCATGGGATGGGTGGCGTTGTATGGCATGGGATGGGTGGCGTTGTATGGCATGGGATGGGTGGCGTTGTATGTCATGGGATGGGTGGCGTTGTATGTCATGGGATGGGTGGCGTTGTATGTCATGGGATGGGTGGCGTTGTATGGCATGGGATGGGTGGCGTTGTATGGCATGGGATGCGCGGATCCCTCACCTTTTCCTTTCATCATGCCATGAATCTCTCTCTCTCTTGTACGTATCTCCGTTCCCTCTCCTTGCATTCGCCTCACTCTCGCGCCCTCTCCTCGCACTCCCCTTCCACACTCTTCTCCTTGCAGGCAAGTCAACCTACCGCCCCCGCATTCAGCCACCGCCACCCAGAGTGGAGCAAGAGCGTGCTGTACCTCCTCCTGTGCTGCCAGCACCACCACCTAACCCTCTCCGTGCCCTCCCTTCTATTCCCTTTCCTGTGATTGTCTGCAGGCCAATGAGCCTACTGCTCTCGCATTCAGCGGCCAGCATCCCGAGTGGAGCAAGAGCGTGCTCTACCTCCTTCGTTTCCCGCAGCACCACCTCTCCCTCACAGTTCCGTCCCCTCTATCCCCTCTCGTGTATTTTTCTGCAGGCAAGCCAACCTACTGCTCTCGCATTCAGTGACCAGCATCCCGAGTGGAGCAAGAGCGTGCTATACCTCCTCAGGTGGCCGCACCACCACCTCTTCGGTGGCTGCATCATCACCTCTCCCGCCACTCCCTTCTATTCCCTCTCCTGTGTTTTTGCAGGCCAATGAGCCAACTGCTCTCGCATTCAGCCACCAGCATCCCTCCCAAGTGGAGCAAGAGCGTGCTCTACCTCCTCCTGTGCTGCCAGCACCACCACCTCTCCCTCTCCGTGCCCTCCCTTGTCCTCCCTTTCCTGTGTTTTCCTTGCAGGCAAGCTCGCCCACCGCGCTCACATTCAGCGAGCAGCGCCCCGAGTGGAGCAAGAGCGTGCTGTACCTCCTCCGGTGGCCGCACCACCACCTCTCCCTCACAGTTCCGTCTCCTCTATTCCCTTGTGTTTTTCTGCAGGCAAACCAACCTACTGCCCTGACAATCAGCCAGCAACACCCCGAGTGGAGCAAGAGCGTGCTCTACCTCCTCCGGTGGCCGCAGCACCAGCTCTCCCTCTCCTTCACCGCCCCTCCCCAACTCCGCTCTCTCTCGGCCCCCACATCGCATGCTCCCGCCGCAAGCTCTCCTCCCTCTCCCTCAAACTGCGCGGCACGGTGGACGGGGAAGAGGAGCAGGAGCAGTAGCACGCGCACTGGTCCCTTGCTTTCCTCAAAGACTGCTCGCAGCTGCATCAGCTAAAGCTGGGCCGCGGCAGGTGGGACCTCACCAGCCAATGGGCCGACGCCACGTGGACGAAATCCCTCCGCTCTCTCACCATCAAGCACGTGGACTGGACCAGCGTGAACCTCGAATTGCTCAAGCAAAGCACCCCGCAGCTTCTAGAATTCACACTCTACGAATCCCGTAGCCTGGCTTCCAACTCACCCCACGGGCCCCACGGATCCCATTATGGCAACTACCACAGCCTCTCCTTCTCTTTCTACGTCGCCCGCGTCCTCCGCTTCCGCTTCCCCCACTGCGACCTCAAGCCCACCCTCACCGTCTCCCCAGCACTCAAAACTCTCTGAGTGATCGCCAAACGCCTCGTCCTCTCCTGCAAGAGCATCGCCCCTCTCGATCTCGACCACCTCTCACTCTACGGCCAGGATCGTCTCGTCATCACCTCCCTCCGCCTTGCATCGTCGCGAGTGGCCTACCTCAACGGCCCTCCCAGCGATGAGCTCTCCTACCTCTCATCCTCCCCTTATCTGCTCTACTCCCAGCAGCTGCCTCTATACCTGCGGCATATTCCTCTTTTCCGGAGCAGAAACTCCTTTTCTTGGAGCACGTGGCTGCGTGCGATTGCGCCTAAAGTGGAGGTGCTTATAGTGAGGCACGGGGTGCCTATAGAGAGGGTAAAGGCGGTGTGGCGGAGCCTGCGCAGCCTTGGGATTGTCGTGGGCGGCAAGGTTTGTCATGACCCGGACTGGGAGGCTGCGGTGGATGGGTGCGATGAGTACAGTGGCTGCGAGGAAGAGGGAGATTATAACGAGTATGAGAGGGATGTGCAGCAGCACCACCAGCAGCAGCACCTGCAGCTGCAGCAGCAGCAGCAACTCCAGCCATTGCAGCAGCAGCAGTCATTGCAGCAACCACTCCTGCCCCCAACCATCAACGCTCCAAATCTCAAATCCATTTTCTTCCCCACTCGCAGGCTCTATGACTCACGCTCCCTCGCTCGCCTGCGCATGAGCTTCCCCTCCCTGGCGCTCTTCTGTGTGATTGATCGCTCATACTACTGGGAGCGGAAGGGGGTGAGGGTAATGGGTGGGCCTGTGGTGCATGAGAGGCAGGAGAAGAGTGGCGTGCTGCGGTGCCGCTTTGATGAGAAGAAACGGGCGAAGAATGTGAAGGAGAAGATGCACAGTGTGAATGGGGGGCTTGTGGAGGGGTATATCGGGGAGGAGGACGAGCGGCATATTTTGAAGTATCAAGGGCGTTCGTAGGGGGCTACTACTGTATCCCGCTTTGTTGAGAAGAAACGGGCGAAGAATGTGAGGGAGAAGAAGCTCAGTGTGAATAAGGGGCTGGTGGAAGGGAACTGTGCTGAGGAGGACGAGTGGCATATATTGAAGTATCAATGGCGAATTTAGTGGGGTGCTGCTTTGATGAGAAGAAGGATGCAAAGAAGATGCACTGGTGGAGGGATACTTTGGGAAGGAGGACGAGCGGCATATCCTGAAGTACCAAGGGCGACAGTAGTGGTCCTTGCTGCTTTTGAGTTTGAAGGGAGAGGACAGTGTGTGATTGGGGAGCTCCTGGAGGGGAACCGGTGCTGTGCTGAGGAGGATGAGCAGCTTATTTTGAAGTGTCAAGGGCTGGTGGCATAAGCAGCTTTTTGTTTGGTGTTGATCTAATATTTATTGCTTGTGTGAAATCGGCACAGCATGATGTCATTTTGTTTCAATGATACTTTCTCAATCGGTTTTCAGAGAGTCCAAACAAAGAGGCTAAAAAAATGCAGTTTCGGTGACAAAGAGGCTTACATACAGGACAACATTGCTCAGCATCCACACCACTTTACATGTGGTAGATGACTGACACACAAGAGTAGAACTCCATTAGTCAGCACCAGGGCAAATTTTATCAGGGTAAATCACCCTGATACCCTGATTATCGGGGTGGTTTTTGGGGGTCAAACTGATGGCCTAGGGTGTTTTTTTGGGGAGATTGATTTACCCTGATGTGTCAGATTTTTTGTGTAAGGCACACTGATGCCCAACGGTTTCCGGATCCCGTAGCGAGTTCTACCCTGTAACGCGTAACCTACACCCCCCCCCCCTCCCGGTACAACCCCACCCCCTTTCCCGTAACCTGGGATTCCACCAAGGCAACTGTCGAGGCCGGAATTTTGGCCTTGACAACTCCTGTGCTGGCACAAAGTGGGCCACTATTGGCCAGGTTTACAGTGTGACAGGGTTAATTTTTTCAAAGTTAAGAAAACCCTGACAGGAAAGATTTTTTGTAGGGGGTCACACTGATAATCAGTTTTTTGAGCTACAGGTACACTGATTATAAGGGTATGTCAAATCCAAAAATTAGCCCTGGTCAGCACTCTAGAGCTCATTTTCAAGATGCTGATTGTGCTACAGTTTTGTATTCCTCCATCCGCCCTCACCATCTGCTCTTTGATTTAGTGTGCTGCTGCTCAGCAAAGCACTAGCATACAGTACCGGTATGCTCGGCAGCGGCAGCGACAGCGGAGCATGACGTCCACCCGAACGCTCCTTTTCCAACACCAGCATCATAGTTGCTGCCCTAGCTGCGCGAATACCATATGTGGTATACCCAACATTGTCATACCCACCGCTACCACCACCCATCATCTCCATACCTGCCATCACCACCGATTCCTCCGCCAAGGTACAGTAACGCACACCACCGGCAGCACCCCATGGTCAGCACTACTGCCACCACACCACCCATCTCGCTCGTCGCTACATCCCTCCCTGACACGCAACTCTCACAGCTGCCTACCGTACATCCACCCTCAGACTCAGATTAATTTCACTCTTCTGTTGTCAAGCTGTTGCATGATCCGATCATCCACACAGGTCGCCTTGTGCAGTACGTGTGTGGGATGATCCGGCCTCAACTGCACCACGGGCTCATTGCTCCGCTCCTCCCCCTCCCCCTCCCAGCGAAACGTCCGGTCAACAATGCAGTAGAATGCCAGCGACGGTAAATCACTGCGCAGAGAAGCCTGCGTCTCAGGCTGCCACTGCCGGGTCGCAAAGAAAATCGATTCCAGCTTTGGAGCATTTATAACGGGAGGGCGGATGCCTTCATGGCCACTGCTGCTGCTGCTCCGCCCCCCTGGACAAAAGACCCTCATCCAGTAATGAGGAGACCCATCGTTTTCAACAGTGATAATGAATTTGAACCCGATTCCCGTGCCATTTGCTCCGATGGCAAGGCATCGCAGGCAGCTCCATTCTGCAGGCACCTCCTCTAGCGGCGAGCCATGCCTCACTATAAGAGTCTCCACTGTTGGCGCGATGCTTCTTAGTAGCTGCGTCAAGGAAAGCTGAGAGGCGGTCAAGGAGCGTTGGGAGATGGAAGGGTGGTTGTAAAGCTCATCCAATGGCGCGCTGGGCAGCACGAGGCTGGTTGGTCCGTTCAGATAGACATTCTTGGCAGAAGCTAGTGGGAGTGAAGCAATGACGAGGTGTCTGCGACCAATGAGAGTAAGCGAGTTGAGAGAGAGTGGGCTGTCGGAATTGCAGTTGACATTCAGCTCAGCTGCTGCAACCGAAAATGCCTTCAAGGAGGGCGCAAGGGAGAAGCAAACATCAAGCTCCTGCTCCTCGAATTTCACTGTTATAGCTCGAGCAGACAGAAAGTCGAGCCTGAGGCTGCAGAAGTGACGGAAGGAGGAGGAGGAGAGAGAAAACTCATGCAGCTGCGGTGCGATCGAAGACAGAAATCCCAAATCACAGCGCTTGCTTTCCGAATGCTCAATGGTCAGACGCCTCAGTGCCTTGAACCATGTTGCGTTCAAACTGCCTAGCTCCCAGTCTCCAAGACCTAGCTTCAGCCGCTGCAGCTGCCCAAACCCCTCGAGAAAAGCCGTATCGACACGCGGGTGGGTGTTCACTCCATATGGGAAAAACTCATTGACCCTCACGCACAAGTTTTTGAGGGATTGAGCAGAGGACGCCATAAGACGACCGAGGCCATGCGGATTCTCTGGGCTGCTGAAAACAAGGTTAAGGGACTTGTGACCTGGCTGTTGGAGGAACCATGAGAGGACTCCCTTCCACTCGGGTTCGTCGCCTTTGAACGCAAGGGAGAGAGGCTCCACATCCTGCACACACAAAGAAGCGAAGACTCTTTTTGTTATATATTGTTGCTTGAAGAGTACTAACTTTTGGGAGAAAATATGTATCACTGCTGAGCGGTGTAGATATCAATGCCCCCACATAGGAGGATGCTGGTGCATGCATGAAAGAAGTGCGTAAGGGCGGGAGCAGTGCATGACCCACAGAGAAGGAGGCTACACAGAGGTAAAGAAGCAGGAGGGTGGAAGGGGAAAGGGGAATTGGGAAGGGGGAAGGGGAAAGGGGAAAGGGGAAAGGGGAAGCGTATTATGACTCACGGAGAAGGACATGACATGGTGGAGGAGCCTCTTGCTGGCCATGGCGCAGCGCAACAGAGGCCACGAGGAGCCGAAGCGCCGAGCATACTCCTTGTGCTTCTCACGGTCGGAAAGACGACTTGTGCTCAGATATGAAAAGCTGCCTGTTTCTGCTAACGGATCAGCCTGTTGCTGCAGACCGATCAATTCACACAAACCGCTGTCTGCTGCTCCCTGAGATGCTGATAAGAGTCGGTCAACTCCCCCAGATGACAGTTCCTCATCAGAGTCGTCCTTCTGTTGCTGTTGAGTGGAATCAGCGGGCGGCAGCAGCAGGTGGCGGAAGATGATGTGCCAGATGGGGCCGGGCAGCAGATCAACCAGGTCTAGACCCTGGTGGGTGGGGAGAGAGAAGCACTGGGGATGAGAAAGGAAAAGAGAGGGAGTTGGAGAGCACTAACGGATGATGCGCAGGGAAACCAGACGATCAGATGCACTGTCTGCTGCATCACGCGCACCTGCTGATCTTTCTCAGCTGCCGAGGGCTGTGAGAGATCGAGAGCAGCCACGCTCGCTTCCACCACCGAACACTCATGGTCAGTTGCCATGCAAATTCACAACTAGGGAACTCAATTTGGTCAGGTCTACACACGGTTACAACGACTCATCGACCGTTCGAGTACGGAGAAACTCAAGAAAGAGAAACGTACAAAAAGCTATGATTGACCAAGCCGCTTGCGAATAAGTATGATTCACTCCCCGAGGAGCTATTGGGCTATTGGCAAGTGAAGCAGAATCCGCCTGGCATTGAATTTGCTGACCTGAATCTCTGATACTCAAATGCACCTGGTCGCCCCACCGCACCGCTCGTCCCGTACTGCTCGTCCCGTACTTGGCACAATCGTCGAACCCTTCCTTCAACGGTTGAGAATCACTTTTGAGAGTTCTCAAAAGTCAGGGTTGGGCACGACGAGGCACGCCTGTTGTCGCCATGGCGGTGCCGGTAACAGCGGCGCCGCGACGGGCTGACGGAGTGCGTGGCAGCGAGTTTTGAGGCGGATCAACACGAGGTTCGCCTGTTGTCGCCATGGCGAGAGGCAGTAAACAACCGTGGGACGGGCTGGCACGAGATTCGCCTGCAGCGCCGCCCGTAGTCGCACTATCGGGAGGCAGTAAAACCCTCACCGGGCAGGGTCGGGCACGACGAGGGATGCATGTATGTCATCGCCATGGCGGTTCCAGTCAACAGCGGCGCGAGAGGCTGACCGAGTCCGCACGAGGCCGCTGCGCGGCGGGGGAGATAGACAACGAACGAAGAGAACGGACGCGGGCAGTCCCGCGGGGTGTTCAGCGGTGTGCTTTTGAGATAGTTTTTCAGAATGAAGCAACACATACATCGCAACGGACAACCGACATCTCAAAGGATACGAGTCGTCGTTTCTAACGAACCTTGATACATCGCTAAAAATACCCGTGATAAGCATGCTGCTGGTCTGGACATAGAGAATAATAGCAATTTTGATATTCATTCAGTGGCAGCGGCAGCTGTCATACGCTTTGGTCATGCAATCCAAGGTCCTGAGGCTAGAAACGATCTCGCGCCTCGACACGCTAGATGTGCACACGTTCTACCTTGATGGCTTCAATAGACCTGGACCGCATGTAGTACGAAATGTCCTCCCATCTCTCGCCTAGAGCCATCACCTCTGTTTTTCGAGCTTTCCCAGTCGTCAGACACGGTGGTCAGCTGCAACTACGATACCCCCATAGAGAGACTCCTTAAAAGCAGCAGTATACATTTGGCAGTACTGTTGGGGTGACTACAGTGCTCAAATTAATTTCGCCCCAGCGAAAGTGAAACAGCGTGGCGAGAGTATTGGCGAAAATCTAGAAGCCCTCCACCGCTCCAGAGGAATTTCGTACCCACAAAAGAGAGGCACCACTCGAGAGCAAACACTGAGTAGTGGTGCCAGGGTACCAATCAGCATAATAGGTTCTATTAGTCTACCCCAAGACTCGCACTTAGAGAAGTGCTGGGCCGGCAGACCAGACACCACGACCCCTAGAACCACCATCATGTGAGTTTGCACAAACTAAGGATAACGCTATAGTAAACGACCGCCCATGTACGTCCGCATATGTACGCCGCCCGCTCCCCGCGAACTCACCTCCCCCCGCACGCGCTCACTCCCTCCGTGCGCTCTCGCCCCCCCCGCGCGCACTCGCTCCCCCAGCGCGCATTCGCTGCACCTCGCACACTCGATCCCCCCCCTTCACTCGCTCCCCCCCGCGCACTCGCTCCCTCCGTGCGCGCTCGCGCCTTCAGCGCGCATTCGCTGCCCCCCCGCTCACTCGCTCCCCCCCTCGCGCACTCGCTCCCTCCGCGCTCACTCGTTTTCCCCGCGCGCACTCGCTCCCCCAGCGCGCATTCGCTGCCTCCGCGCGCACTCGATCCCCCCGCGCTCGCTCGCTCCTCCCGTGCGCACTCGCTCCCTCCGCAAGCAACTTCTCCCCAGCGCGCATTCGCTCCCCCCGCACGCACTCCCTCCCCCCCGCGCGCATTCAGTAGCCCCGCACGCACTCCCTTTTCCGCCTGGGCTCGCTCGCACATCGATTGGGAGCCATCGTCGTTCCCTCTGCTCTGCGCCCCGCGCACCCGCCCCTACTTTCCACCACTACCCAACCATCCACCCTTGTCAAACTTTCTCCTCTCCTCTTTCCCCTCCCTCTCCTCACTCTCGCACTCCGTCCCACCCTCCCTCACCCCTCCCTCGCCCCTGCCTGCCCCATGGCTCTCCCCATCCCGTGGTGTGCGACTCACGTGGGCGGAGGTGGAGCCGAACATAATCTTCTTCGTCTTCGAGCTGTAGCAGATCAAGGTGCGCTCCCACCCTGCCCTGGTGCCTCTGCTCCCTCTGCCCACTCTGCTGCCTATGCTCCCTCCATTCCCCCCCTGCATCCCCTCCTTTCCTTCCCCTCCATCCCCTCCTTTCACCCCCTGCATCCCCTCCTTTCCCCCCCTGCATCCCCTCCTTTCCTTCCCCTGCATCCCCTCCTTTCAACCCCTGCATCCCCTCCTTTCCCCCCCCTGCATCCCCTCCTTTCCCCCCTGCATCCCCTCCTTTCCCCTCCTGCATCCCCTCCTTCCGCCCCCCTGCATCCCCTCCTTTCCCCCCCTGCATCCCCTCCTTCCGCCCCCCTGCATCCCCTCCTTTCCCCCCCTTGCATCCCCTCCTTTCCCCCCCTGCATCCCCTCCTTTCCCCCCCCTGCATCCCCTCCTTTCCCCCCCTGCATCCCCTCCTTTCCCCCCCTGCATCCCCTCCTTTCCCCCCCTGCATCCCCTCCTTTCCCCCCTGCATCCCCTCCTTTCCCCCCCTGCATCCCCTCCTTTCCCCCCCTGCATCCCCTCCTTCCGCCCCCCTGCATCCCCTCCTTTCCCCCCCTGCATCCCCTCCTTCCGCCCCCCTGCATCCCCTCCTTTCCCCCCCCTGCATCCCCTCCTTTCCCCCCCTGCATCCCCTCCTTTCCCCCCCCTGCATCCCCTCCTTTCCCCCCCTGCATCCCCTCCTTTCCCCCCCTGCATCCCCTCCTTTCCCCCCCTGCATCCCCTCCTTTCCCCCCCTGCATCCCCTCCTTTCCCACCCTGCATCCCCTCCTTTCCCCCCCTGCATCCCCTCCTTTCCCCCCTGCATCTCCTCCTTTCCCCCCTGCATCTCCTCCTTTCCCCCCCTGCATCTCCTCCTTTCCCTCCCTGCATCTCCCCCCCCATCCACCGTGCCATTCTGCCTACTACTGCAGGTGAAGTACGTGTTTGACACCATAGCGCTGGCTGTTGGCCTTACAATGGCTCTCATCAACGGCCAATCATAGCTTGCTGACGGGGCAACCCACCTCGTGCCGCACCCTACTGCCCGTTCTGGCCCCGTGGGCCTCCTCAGTCACTCGCTCACCCTCGCCGCTGCCGCTACCGGCCCTTCCACCACCGCTGCTGCCACGTCAGGGGTCGCCGGCATGCATGCTGACATGGCAGTGAGCATACCGACTATTTGCTTCTAGTGTCGTAGTCCCGTGTTACTGCTTCCCCTCCTTTCCCCCACTGCTTCCACACCTTTCCCCCACTGCTTCCACACCTTTCCCGCACTGCTTCCACACCTTTCCCCCACTGCTCCCACACCTTTCCCCCACTGCTTCCACACCTTTCCCCCACTGCTTCCACACCTTTCCCCCACTGCTTCCACACCTTTCCCCCACTGCTTCCACACCTTTCCCCCACTGCTTCCACACCTTTCCGCCACTGCTTCCACACCTTTCCCCCACTGCTTCACCATCTGCTACTCCAGCGTTACCCTCTCTGCCTCATACCCTCTCTGCCTCATACCCTCTCTGCCTCATACCCTCTCTGCCTCATACCCTCTCTGCCTCATACCCTCTCTGCCTCATACCCTCTCTGCCTCATACCCTCTCTGCCTCATACCCTCTCTGCCTCATACCCTCTCTGCCTCATACCCTCTCTGCCTCACCCCATCTCTGCCTCACCCCATCTCTGCCTCACCCCATCTCTGCTTCACCCCATCTCTGCCTCACCCCATCTCTGCCTCACCCCATCTCTGCCTCACCCCATCTCTGCCTCACCCCATCTCTGCCTCACCCCATCTCTGCCTCACCCCATCTCTTCCTCACCCCATCTCTGCCTCATACCCTCTCTGCCTCCTTCAATGGCTGGTCCGCCTGGCAGGGACCAAAAGCTTGTGGTGTCCAGGAAAGGCGACCTGCTGCGTGAACCTATCCTCGCTCGCCTATCCTCCCCATCGCCTGCCAGCATCATCACATTTCCTGCGTCGCCTAAGCTGGCTGCACACTTGACCCATCGTACATTGCTTAGTGTGCATGGATTGCCTCTGTGCTTTTACTTGTAACCGTACTGCTTTGATTACATAGTTTGTTATGGTAGGGAACATGCTGTAAATTTTGGTAAAGTTATCCTCCAACCTGTAATGATGCTACAGAGCACCGTGGTCAATAACCAGTTGATAAAAAACACTGTACATGCTGCTACCAAGAGGCTTCAAGCTGCTTTGTTACCATTGCTGCCCTATCCATGCCCAAGTTGCTGGTTCTTATGTGCCATGTGTGGCGTAGGAATTTCATTCAGGAAGGCACCACACCTGCAACACAAGCACAGAGATTGAGCAAGGGAACGCAATGTGAGTCCTGTATGAGATGAGCATGAAACTAGTGTGGGATGTAGTGGAGGGAAAAGTGGGCAGTATCAGGAGTAAACGCAGGGGGTGAGCAAGGGGTGCCTGATAGGGGCAGGAGGTGGTATGGGGAGGGGAGATGAGGAGGGAGTAGGTGGGTGAGGTGGGGGATGGAGGAGGCAAAATGGGACGGAGGGGTGGCAATGGGTTGGAAGGCGGATGGAGGGGAGCTTAGGGAGAGGCAGGATACGGAGGGTAAATGCAAGCATGGTGACATGAGATGGGGCTGAATGAGAATGGAGGTGATGGGAGGCGTGAAGGTGAGATGGGAAGGCAGGGAGAGGTGATGGGAGGCGTGAAGGTGAGATGGGAAGGCAGGGAGAGGTGATGGGAGGCGTGAAGGTGAGATGGGAAGGCAGGGAGAGGTGATGGGAGGCGTGAAGGTGAGATGGGAAGGCAGGGAGAGGTGATGGGAGGCGTGAAGGGAGGCATGAAGGGGAAATGGGGAAGGCGGGATGGGAGAATAAGAGGCGGGACGAGAAGAAGGGAAGGCGGGATGGGAGAATAAGAGGCGGAACGAGAAGAGAAGGAAGGGAAGGGAGAGACAGGAGTTTGCAAAAAAGGATGAGAGGGAAAGGAGCATAGGGAGAGAAGGTAGGGGGGGAGGGAAGCGAGGGACGGGAGAGAAGGGAGGGAAAGGAGAGACGTGATAGCAGGGAGAGGAGGAACGGAAGGAAGGGAGGGAACTCCGAGAAGGGAGAGACGGGAGAGAAGGGAGGGATTGGAGGGAAAGGAGGGAAGGGAGGGAAGGGAGGGAACGGAGAGAAGGGAGGGAAGGGAGAGAAGGGAGGGAAGGGAGGGAAGGGAGGGAAGGAGGGAAGGGAGGGACGGGAGAGAAGGGAGGGACAGGAGATTGCAAGGAGGAATGAGAGGGAAGGGAGAAAAGGGAGCGAAGGTAGGGGGGGAGGGAAGGGAGGAAACGGAGAAAAGGGTGGGAAGGGAAGAAACGGAGAAAAGGGAGGGAAGGGAGCGAAGGAAGGAAATGGAGGGAAGGGAGAGAAGGGAGGGAAGGGAGGGATGGGAGGAAAGGGAGGGAAGGGAGAGAAGGGAGGGAAGGGAGCGAAGGAAGGAAATGGAGGGAAAGGAGAGAAGGGAGCGAAGGGAGGGATGGGAGGAAAGGGAGGGAAGGGAGAGAAGGGAGGGAAGGGAGGGAAGGGAGGGAAGGGAGGAAAGGAAGAAAAGGGAGGGAAGGGAGGAAACGGAGAAAAGGGAGGGAAGGGAGCGAAGGAAGGAAATGGAGGGAAGGGAGAGAAGGGAGGAAAGGGAGGGATCGGAGGAAAGGGAGGGAAGGGAGAGAAGGGAGGGAAAGGAGGGAAGGGAGGAAAGGGAGGGAAGGGAGAGAAGGGAGGGAAGGGAGAGAAGGGAGGGAAGGGAGAGAAGGGAGGGAAGGGAGAGAAGGGAGGGAAGGGAGAGAAGGGAGGGAAGGGAGAGAAGGGAGGGAAGGGAGGGAAGGGAGAGAAGGGAGGGAAGGGAGAGATGGGAGGAAAGGGAGGGAAGGCGCCACTGGGCGCGGATCAATCAGCTTCACTGGACCTTTCCCCTCTATTTCTCTAGGGAAGGCTCCATAAGCAGGTCTAGCTGCGCTGCCTACCAAATTTCATTGGGTCATTTTTTCCCGGAACCCAATGGAGTCTCAAGCGGCCAGTCTTTGGTCAGCGTTGTTGTGTGATGCCATCATTTGCCTTCACATCTGCCCGCCTTCGATCGTACCTTTCTACCTTGCATGCGTGGTGTGCACGTGCGTAATGATTTGTGTTTGGCATGGCTTGGAATTTGTAAGACTGTGTGAATGTATTTGGATTGAGCAGATATCTTGAATGAACTCTCTGTTCAAGAGCTTTCCGGTGAACCAAGAATCGCCTCAATCGGAGCACGAACCAGAAAGTTACGAACAGTTGAAGTTTGTATGCTTTAAATATTCGGTTGCGGTGACTTACGGAATTTTTGGGGTGAGTCTGTATGGGGTATACACCATTGGGGGTTGGAAAAACTCGTCACTTCACTGTATTTGCTGCTAGGTGGTTGGGAGAATCCAAACCAGGTTGGCAAGTATTGCAAATTTGATTGATGTGGATTGGGAGGGTTGGGAAAGTGACAAAGTCGAAGCTGGGTTCCTATAGTGAGGGCATTTGTGAGCTTATGGGGTTTCGTTAGATGGGGACCATCTAAAAAACTCTTCCCTCTCGTCCTCCTCTTTTTCCACTACCTGGATTCTTGCTACTCTAATTCGTAGTGTGGTTTTTGATTGAACAATTGTGATTGAGTTAAGTTTCAGCTCCAGCATACCTCCCAGTTTTCCATAACACTTGTAAGGCGTCCAGTGGTTTGTCTTGTCCAGGTGAAGCTTGCGGGTGCGGCATGAAGCTGATTGATCCGCGCTCGTACGGAGCAAAGGTAGGTTGTTGCTGGTTTCCGCGCGCATATGACGAGCCGTCGAGACTCATTGGAGTCGCCTCATGGTTGTTGTTGCTGTTGTTTGACTGCGCAGGTGCCGACTGCTGGTGCTGCTCGTAGAAGGACATGAAGGAGAAGAATTTCTCCATCATACTCTGGTCGAAGCTGGCAGGTTGATGTCAGAATGTTATTGTCTAGCCTGCAGTGGGGTGCTCAATAGTGAGTACAACCCCTTAGGGTTTCCTATATGTATCCTGCTGCTTGCTAGTTCATCATCATTCCCATTCTCACATACCACAAACCCTAGTCCTAGGGCACAACCTACTACCTCCTAGTGTGGGCCTAGGCTACTAAGCCTAGGCCCCACTCCTAGTATTTTGACATGGTATTCAGAGCAGGCACGTTCCTGCCGCCTTCCTGTATGGGCCCACCACCTGCTTCCGCTGCCGTACTGTCCGCCGCGCGCCCCGTGGTGCGCGGCGGCCAAACCCTAATTTTTCATCCCGCCGCGCGCTCGGAGCGTGCGGCGGTTCTCTGCCAGCCGTGCGCCCCGAGGCGCGCGGCGGTTTTCTGCCCGCCGTGCGCCCCGAGGCGCGCGGCGGTTTTCTGCCCGCCGTGCGCCCCGAGGCGCGCGGCGGCTTTCTGCCCCGTCACTCCGCGAGTCGCCCCCGGGAGGAGCTGCGACGGGCGACGGGGAGCCGCGCGTCGCCCCCCGTCGCCCGTCGTGGCCCGAGCGACCTCCGTAGGGCCCGCGCGCGGCCCGTCCAGCCTGCGCGCGGCCCGTACGGGCTGCGCCAGGCCCGCGCGCGGCCCGTACGGGCTGCGCCAGGCCCGCGCGCGGCCCGTACGGACTGCGCCAGGCCAGGGCGCGCCTCGAGCCGCCCGCCACTGCAGCAGCAGCCCCTGGAGCCGCCCGCAACTGCAGCAGCAGCCCCTGGAGCCGCCAGCACCTGCAGCAGCAGCCCCTGGAGCCGCCCGCAACTGCTGCAGCAGCCCCTGGAGCCGCCAGCAACTGCAGCAGCAGCCCCTGGAGCCGCCAGCAACTGCAGCAGCCGCCCCTGGAGCCGCCCGCCACTGCAGCAGCCGCCCCTGGAGTCGCCCGCCACAGCAGCAGCCGCCCCTGGAGCCGCTCGCCACTGCAGCAGCCGCCCCTGGAGTCGCCCGCCACAGCAGCAGCCGCCCCTGGAGCCGCCCGCCACTGCAGCAGCCGCCCCTGGA